TTTTTTTTTTTTTTTTTTTTCACATGTTTCCTTTAAGCAGGACTTTGTGGCGCCAGTTGGAAAGGGACCAAGATAACAGCTACAGCCCTCTGACTGGCTAAAATTGTACGTCAATAAGAATCAAAGGTTACATTTTGCTCTGGAGCTATAGGCTGAAGAATATACAGGCAGGTACCGGCTCCAGAAGCATGTCCGCTACACTGAGACGTATAATATATACTGACAGAGCCCCTGCAAGGCGCGATATCTACAGGTAAAGTTTCTCACCTTTACCTGCAAATCCCTGCTACTCATTACATTATTTTAGTGTGTTGCGTTTATGTCACCAATCAATAATAAACTGCTTATTACTGATGTATAGTTGCTGTTATACTGTCTATCCCTTTGACAGTGGACACTACAAGGTCCAGCATGCCTTGCCAGTCTGTGTCTTGCTGGGACTTTCAGTTCTGCAGCAGCTGGAGAACTGTAGGTTCCCTGGGTTTGTAGCAATAAGTAATGTATAAACTGTAATAAGTACACAGGGGTTCTGGTTTGATACCATGTTTACTTGCACAGATTGAAAGCCCAATTTCACTTTTTACCTAAATTAAATAAGTTACATGCATTTCAGATGCAAAATCCTCCACTTTGTTTTCCTTAAAGTGACATTAAACCCTCAGATTTTTTAACATAAACCAATACTGTAATGTGTGCCTTACTGTAATCCATGGTTGTTTCCCTTCTCTTTGCTGCTCTTCCTTTTAAATCCTCATGTCTTCTCATGCTGGGGGAGAACTTCCCTTTTCAGCTCAGGGCCTCTTCCTGTAGTGCTGGCTCAGGTTTCAAGCCTATAGAAACCTACACACAGACACCGTGTATCCATTCCAGAGACAAGGCAGCCTGCTGCAAAACAGAAGTTCTGCAGAGCATGAGAACAGATACAGATTTAAAAGGAAGAGCAGCAAAGAGAAGGGAAACAACCATGGATTACAGTATTGTTTTATGTTAAAAAATCTGAGGGTTTAATGTCACTTTAAGCCCCTCCCCCCAATAACGTTTGCTACGCATGTGTAGTGTTTTTGCATATCTGCATAGGGCAGCCCATTCGTTTCAGTGGGCTGCTCTACGCGCTACAAATGCAGCAAAAAGCTCATGCAACAGTATGAGCTGTGAGCTTTGTGTGGTTTTCGACGACGTCTTTGCCGCTTGTTGTGGCGCTGAGACATATGTTTTGGGGGTGCTTTAACAATAATGGCACTGCAAGCGTGATGTGTGCTTTTTGCATGTTTTGTAACTGCAATTGGCAAGTGGGAATGAGGCCTACTCTGTAGCCACAGCCTACAGAGTAAAAAAAAAACCCTTGCTCTGTGTGGGGAAGCAGTAATCTCTTTGCAGAGATCTGACACTGACCCCTGGTGAGTCAAATCCAGAGCTCGCTAATCAGTGGTAAACATGAGCTGTACTGATGCAGTCAGACCTCACCGAGCACAAGTGTCCCATTCTGCAGCTGCTGGCAGGGGACAGGCTTTGCTACTCAGGCTGTAGCTGCTTTAGAAAAAAAAAAACATTTGAACACCATTTGTTTTGATGTCCCTGGAATGTATTCAGCTGATTTCAACTAAATGTTTAATTTGGCCTTAAAATAACACTATAACAAATCTGCAATGTTGTTTAAAAGAAAACTGTGGGGTAACCTTTTTATCCCATAGTTCTCTTTAGGGTCATGGGAGGGCATATACTAACGTTCTCCCGTGACCCAAACCTCAGTATATAGCGAGCTATCGCAACATGGCGATGCACAATGCTATTGTTTCCCATTCTCTTATAGTGCTGTACTGACTTGATACACTAAGCTTTGACCTGGGGTTTACTGGTCTTGACCTAGGATTTGCCCTGTGCTGTAAGGTTCAGTGTGGGGTCTATGGTGGGGTCTCACCAGGGGTCCCAGTCGGTCTTGTGGGCAGCGGGTTTATACAGGAAGGAGGAAATTTTGCTGCCGGCGATTTAGACCTTCCTGTGAACGGTATCGGTGCTCAGTATTGGGGCATTTTCACCAGTATTAGTACTTGTGAAAATGCCCAGTATCTACACCGGTATCGGTGCTAGGGCTGCAACAACTAATCGATTAAATCAATCATGAGAATAGTTGTCCGACTCTCATTGTCGATTAGTTGGGGGGGGGGATTTTAAATGCAACTAATCAATTAATTGGAAAAAATAATCGGGCAACTAATCGATTTTGAAAATAATTATTTGCTGCAGCCCTGATCGGTCGCATCCCTAGTTCATGCTCCATTTACTGAAATATGCTTTTTTTATAACAAGTTATAGAGGTGTGTAAGCTGAATGCTCCGTACTGCTTTGTGCTAGTCCAGCTGCATGGGTTGCTTTCATAATAAAAGCAATACTGCAAGCCTCGATGATTTGGTGATGTCATTATACAGATAAGCATTCAGAACACACTTCATTAAGAAGCCAATAGGTATAAATCAAAGTAATAACTTCCATGTAGTTACCCAGCAAAGCAAGAGAAGTAGAACTTGTACAAGGCAGTCAGAAAATTCAATGCTGTCAGCAAGTGGCTGGATGACCCTTGACCTGTGGCTAAATAAGTAAATGAAGAATCAGGAGGAGTTGTCCCGTCCTGGCCAATAAGCCCCAAGCAGTGCCATATTCCCAGTCACCCTCCCCGCTGCCTTTCTACTTGTCTTACAAGCTTTTTCTATTGTCGCTGCTAATATTTTTTTAGGCCGATGACACTTGGTTAGCAGTACATATGCCTCTCATGTGTATGAAGACTGTAATATATCACATGTAAAGCTCATTGCTGTCACTCAGCTGCTTTATGGCATGTATTGTAAACCTATCTGCAGCAGATAATACAGGTGTGAGAAAACTGGTTCCAGTTCGGTCTCATGCACATGGCGTTAGAAGCTGCGATTTCATGCAGCTGCTGTGCCCATTCAAGTGTGCAACGATATAGAATGGGGGGAATTTATCAAAACCTGGAGCAGTTGCCCATGGCAACCAATCAGCATCTCTCTTCAGTTTGTTAAGGTAATATTTGAAAATGAGAGAGAGAGAGAAGCTGTTTGGTTGCAGTACAATCTGCTTCAGATTTTTGTCTGCTCCAGTTTTGATCAATTCCCCCCAATGTGTCTCATTTTAAATACGTAAAACATCATAAATAAAATCAGTAAAGCTGACGGTGAATGTGTCGTCTGCTTTTTACTTTTCAGTCAGGCGGTTGTGGTGGATAAAACCATGTATGTGTCTGGTCAGCTTGGCATGGATCCAGCAAGTGGACAGCTTGTGCCTGGAGGAGTAAAGAATGAGGCACAATCTCAATTCGAAGCTGTTCCCTGCAGTACCTCTGCTGGCCACAAGATGTCCTCAGTCTTCAGAGTGAAATGATGGCCAATGTCTCCCAACCCAGAAGGATGAGATTAGACTGACTGCAGCCTAAAATGCTCCTGCCTCCCAAGCACAGCGCCCTGCACTTAGTGTATTACTGTTTCCCTGATGTCATCCAGTTGCTGAAATTTGCTTGTTATAGAATTCCAGCATTTGGGGCAGCCCGGATGCTAAGGACTACATATAACATGTACAGGTACTGCTTGGTACTTGCATTGTAGTTCTAGAGCTTGTTTTGATACTTTTATGATCGTGACAGGAGGCTTCACAGGCAGAACAATCTGATAATATGCTGCTCTTTGTACAATCCAGTAACCATATGTAAAAAACTTTTATTCCAACCAGGCACTGGTAAATATGGGAGAGATCCTGAAAGCAGCAGGATGTGATTACACTAATGGTATGTAATGTCTTTGCACTTTGTCCCATATTAGGTTGGTTTAGTAAGGCAAATAGCAGTGAAAAGGACAAAAACCCTAGAAACCAAGACACCTCCATATTTCAGGTGACCGCAGGGAACTGAAATATTGTAACTACAGGTCACTCGAGATTTCCCTTTGCAATGTTTTATTGAACATGCCAACACAGAGTTTGTTTTCTCCCTGTACTCCCTCTCCATCCCTGCCCAGGTTTTATTACCTGTTGATCCAGTTATTGAGCTTGTATTTTTACACTCTGTAATAGGGTGACAACGCTGTTTCCTCTGCAGTTAATTTGCACAGCAGTGTTGTCACCCTGTGGACAGGGTAGCCTTAGATGGACATGTAGTTTTCATAGACTTTAAGTTCAGACAAATTTAAAGGCCAACTCTAGATAACACTTTTAACCACCTTAAGCCCAGCCGTTGTAATTGAACGGCCGGGCTGTGGCTTCCTGGATGCAGGTGGGCATTTATAAATGTCCTTGCCTGTCCCCCGCTTGTGTGCACCACCCAGTGTGCGCACGAGCAGGAAAAATGTTTGCATTTTATACAGCAGCTAGAGATGGCTGTACAAGCGTTTGGAGGGACATCAGCACACAATCTCCCGCCGATGCAGGAGTGATGTGTATTACATCACTTCCGCATTTAGCTGTCATTTCTCTGGCTTCTGTAGCCAGAGAGAAGCTGATGAAGCTTCATCAGCTTCTTTGGGGGTCCCTAGGTGACATTAGGGGTCTTAAAGACCCCTGATGTCTCTATGAAGAGGACGACCTGTCACATCCTCTTTGCTATCACATAGGGGCCTTCTTATCCTCCTATGTCATTGCAATAATGTTAAGTGTAAAAAAAAAAAAAAGGTAACAAAGAAATTAAGTCACATAAAAAGGCAGTTGCTTCAGGTGGCATCTCATTGGGTCAAGTGGCTCCCTGCGGCCCCAAGTCCTCAATCTCTTTCTGCATAAAAATAAATTAAAATATAATTATAAATAAAATAAAGAATATTTGAAAAAGTTAGAAAAAAAACATTCGGTTTCAGCCTGACATTTTTTTTCATTTCGGTGCACCTCCTAGTTTCCAGCTCTAAAAACTGTGCTTAGTAGATGAGCCCTAATGCTGGAGACTTTAATGCCTAAATAATTTTGGAACTTAAAGATTAAAGTGACATTTAAAGTCAATAATTTTTTTTCCTACCCCCAATGTTAATGTCAGCACTTACCTTAAATGATGTTTATTAATCCGATCTTCTTTCCTGTCCTTTCCGTCTGTCTCTCCAGCGCTGCTGCGGGTCTCTGATCCAGCGCTGACTCCTCTGAGCTTGCTGGCACTTCCTGTCCCACGGTGTCTGCATGCGGGTGCACGCGTCCATGGACTTACCTTGTGTCTCTCCTCGCGTCCCGGCCGCAAATGTGAACTGCGCATGCGCCCGCCCCCGAGTTGCTTTGCGGCCGCCCGAGGATCTTCACATTTTCGGACGGGAGCACGCGGGGAAGACACAGGTGAGTATTAACCTCTGTTAAAGTGGTTTTGTTTTTTTACACTTTTTGCATAGATCTAATGCTTGCAAGCAGTAGATCTATGCAAAAGAAATGGAGGCTTTAATTATCCTTTAATTGACCTGTGTTTAATTTCCTTTTTGTTTCAGTTGTAAAAACCACTGTATTATTGGCAGACATCAATGATTTCAATGATGTCAACGACGTTTACAAGCAGTGTAAGTACTTGTAATACAGTTCATGTTACACAGTACATTGTCTAGATCAGTGGTTCTCAACCTGTGTAACCTCAGGACCCACATTTGTCCTTGGTCATGAAGTCGCGACCCAAGTCGCACCGCATTGGAACGCACGGCATTGAGGTACCGCACGTTCCGATGCGGGCAATCAAACTGTGTACAGGAGATGCGTTTGGGGTGCCGTTCAAATGAATGGCAATGCAACACAACTCCCACACCAGAATTTGCGGTAGGTGCGATTTTTGCGTGGTACAATACAGTAATCGCAATGGACTGTGCAATTAACGCTCTGTACTAGTGTGAACGGACCCTCAAAAATACTGTCAGACACACACAACCACAGACACAATCTCTCACACTCACATACACACTTCACAATAAAATACATTTGATTTCCTTTTTTTAAGATCCA